TCGTTTTATACATTAATAATGTAATAATATCTGTACAGTAATAATACAAATTGTTAATTAAACAAAAAAGAAAATTTCAGACAATAACGAATACTTTGCACGTCAACGCGTCAAAGCAACTAGAGATCTCGCACGTATTATAAATTGTACTCAATACGAGGAACTGATAATAATACATATATCAAACGTGCGTTTGATTCTTCGAAGATGTTATCATTTTTAAGTTATTCCGATTAAAATGAAAACATTCAGATACTCTTTTTAAAACACTATCAAGCACACATGTTTTGACATATGTATCTGGTGATATATATGTCAGAGATTAACAGGTTTTTTTCAAAAAAATTTCGTCTTTACGTAATTATGTCTATTAAAGATTAGTGTAAATATTATATAATATTAAAATTAAGTCATTCGGTGACAAGATATTTTATTTTCTCACTGAACGAATACTTTCGTCCGTCACTATATTTCGTATTAAGAAATATCTGTTCTTGCGGAATTTTTTATAGAAAGAAGTGTTACACTTGGGAACACTTTCGAATAGTGTTCTCATGGGATAGATATCTCAGAATCTGTATAACAAAAGTTCCATGGAAAAGAGTTATTTTATAAAATAATATTTAATGGAAATAATACTTAATTAAAAGTACATTTCTATATTCTACAGTACTACATACTCATTAAATAATATTCAGATGTCAGTATTTGCTACAAACGTTGGGAACTTTTTTAATATTGATGAACAAATTATCTAAATATTTTTATTCCATCTGAAATTTTTCTTTTTGAGAACATTTATTTATCTGTTCTCATCAGAACTTATAACGTAAGAATATTTTTCGAAAAAGTTCTATGAGCCATGTTTCAAATGGAATCTACTTGAAAAATTCCTTAACTCATTCAATCCTTACACTCGTATATTACACACACACACACACGTTCAATTTTACTTATTAATAAATATTGGTTATCTGTTTTATCGATGTTACTATTCTTATCACCGTTTAGTATATTCGAGTTACTAAATGTTTAATTAT